ATTATATTTTATTAATCATTTTATAATATTAACATGACTACATGCGAACAATTGCGAACAAAGGGGGGAGGGGTGGTCTAGATTTCTGAAAAAGTGCGAACGTAATATGTGAACAACGCCTAATATTGTATGTGTGTAATTATAAATTATTATAATGTTATAAAATGATTAATAAAATATAATTATATAAAACTAATGTAAGTAAATTCGTCTGCAGTCATATTGAGGATAACAATTAAACTAATTTTATTTTTGCAATATTTTTAATAAATAATTTAATGATAATATTTTATAATAAAATGTATTATGAATTTTAATCTCAAAAATATTATATTGTAATATTTATAATAATTGTTATTTCGTTTATAACATAAAATGCATAAAAGAAGGAATCATTAAATGACAGAAAATATTTATTCATAAAAACAATTTTTAAACACAAATATTAAAATGTTTGACAAGTTTTTTAGTGAACAAAAAACTACAATAAAAACTTCACTACTGGAGACGTACTGTACAGCGAGAATCATTCAAATCAACCTTGCACTATTGTCATACAATGCAATTGTAGCGTTGTAGACAATTCAAATATAACATCCATCAAATTTTTTGTGCAAAATTTTGACAGAATATTCTGCAAAACACAACAACCCTACAAATTAACATACATGCATTTATTTTACTAAAATTTTGATAATTGATACACAATTTGGGAATTTTTTCTTAATTTTTCAAATGAGTTGTTAGTCTGTAGTTATTGGAGGAAAATATATATTTTTATTTATATAATGAAGACTTTTGTATTAATTTCACGACTTTGTGAATATCAATGCGAAGGCCATCGCGATTACAGACTCTTTATATCTCTTCTAATGGTTTTCACAAATTCAAAATGAGTGACAATTTTATTCATTTATTACATAAAAATATTTCGTTTTTATTCAATCTTTTGTTCGCTTTGTTTTGTGTTTTTTTTTTCGTGAAACGAAAACTAAATATAAATTTTGAAACAATTGTTATTTTTTTTATTGTTAACTAATGATTGAGTCATTGCCTGTCAATGCATTGCAATTATCCCTACGTTTACCTTAAAGTGTAATGTTTTTTAACGCACTCTTAATCCCTGTTTAGAAAAAACCTTTTTGTTTTGTCTGAGAAATATTGCAACAAAAATAGCATTACTTATACAAAAAAAATGGTTTAAAAATACAACAAATTTATACAAAATTATAGTCATGAAAATATTTCTAAAATTACACACCTAGATTATATTTAAAACCTCATATTAAATATAGTTTATAAAGTATACTGCATAATAATAATTATTATTCAACTCAAACACGTGAATCCCTATTTAAAGGGCTTAACAAAAGTAGTTTATTGAGAGCCCAATAATCTATAACATTTTGTATGGTATTTCATGTCAAAACTACACCCGATTGAAATAACTACAGCCCTAACCTACTAACCACGATAATAATAAAATTTCAACCACGAACAGTAACATTAAATACCATTAACTAACAAACTAACAGCGGTGGACATTTTAAAAATATAATTGCATCTAGATGTTAATGAAGAGCACACATAGTAAATTGGCAACGTTAGTGCGCTCACTGACAGCAAAAAGTATGAATGTAAAAAAACTAACTTAAAAAAGTGATTTCGTCATCAAAACCGAGGGTTTCGTAGAAAAAACATAACCAGAGATTGAAAGGCAAACTCGTATTGAAAACATTATACACAGCGCTGTCTGTATTGTGTAGTCTGAATGCTAACTGAGCCAAAGAGGAGAGCACTGGTAGGCCATAGAGATAGGGAGGGGAGAGAGAGAGAGAGAGAGAGAGAGAGAAAAGTGGTCTCTCTCGCACTCACATGCATAGTATGACTAATAACTTGATCGACTAGTTTTATGCTATACGTTGAACATGATGAAATCATAGCAATAAACAACTAGTTGCGTTTTTCTATGGTGTTTGCGAAGTGTGTGTATTTACTCGTGAGTTAAGGCAACGATTTATTACAACTTATTATTGATATTCTCATACAAAGTGAACACATATTTGTTGTGCAAAAGTTATAAATATATATTAGTTTCGATGTATTAATGATGGAAATGAAGATTTTCTGATGCATTAAATGCGTGAATATATTACTTCTTCCTATCGATAGACATATTATTTGTGAACGAAATTGTTATTAGTTTTCAAAACATTTCGTTTTTTGGATAATTATTTCTTTTTAGTGCAAACAAACAGAGAGACAGACAATGAGTGATAAAAGTTTCACATTTAAGACAATTAAATATCTGTTGATAACGAAGATATGCATCGGAATTGTCTTCTCGTTCATAATAGTGTTCCTATTGGTTGTGATGACATCCCATCACTCGACCGATGGTCGCCGGACTGGTATCCCAGAGCAGGACAATCTACTCTACGATCACCCTGATGCTAAGACCATGGACAGTAAGTGTAGACCAACATTGTTATCATATAAATATACTACACGTACACAACATATGCCACAAACCATTTACCATTCATAACATTTGTTGATCTCATTTGAAATCCATGTGAATATTACTGTTAATGAGATCCCAAACATACAATTCATGCCATAAATTAAATTAATTATATAATGAATTTATAATTACTATTAATAAGGCTCTCTCAGAGGGGTTAAGAAATTACTGCTGACTAAATGACCTAGCACTTATTATATTAATTATTATATTATGGTTCTTATTATTAACTCCCGTTATAGTACAGTAATGTTATATTTTATTATTATTTTGCTATTTAAAAAAATAGTTTTAATTGTTTTATTGAACTCATGTCTGACTCACAACCCATACAAACACAGCAAACAAATTGTAGTTTTATTTTTTATTTAAAACACAATTTTTAATATATCGTTAGGAAAAACATTGTTTGCAAAAACAGGCTTTTGTTTGGGAGTTATAGTGAAAATGTTTCGCCGATTGTTATGTCAAATGACAGTAAATTATTATAATTATTATTGAATTTCTTATTTTTTGTGTAACTTTTATCCTCAACTCAGAGACTAGGAAAGAGAAATGTCCTTAAATTGTATTTTATTTGTTTTACCGACAATTGAGCCGAAAGTTATCATATATGGCCTGAAAAATATTTATATTGTTAATTTTTCCCCTTGGTAATTATAATTAATCGTTGTAATTAACCGCAAAGCGATCTAATTATATGCATTAATTAAATATAAGGAAAATATTTAGTTATTTAATATTGATTTGTAAAAATAATTTGCATTTTATTTCAATGACGTCTTCACGACATACAGTATACCTTGGGTTTGATGTAAATTTATCACTTTGCTTTTAATATTTAATTTTATTAAACTCTTTATAAATTGCCCCGAGTTTTAAGTTTAGATTTTTATTTTAATGTTATTAAAAATATTTATAATATTTAGTTTTAAATCTATGTCTGTATTGTATTTAAACGATTACTTTATGAGTGGATTATGCGATACACACATAAAGAGTGAGACATTATTTGAGTTGTGATTTGAATTGAAAGAAATGCTAAAAATAGACGATTTATTTATACACCAAACAAAATATTTAAGTCATGACATCAATTATATGCGAATTAAATTAAGACAAAACAATGTTATAAATAAAAAATCAATTATTTTAATAAACATTGAGAAAATCTATGCTAATTATGATTTCAATGAAATAAAGGCATTATTTGCGTGACTTTTTTGTGGTCAAAATGAAGAGATAAATCTGAAAACTAAAGTCAATGTTTAGTTTTAAATATATTATATTTAGAAATGTAAATAATAAGTGAAAAATTATGAATAAAACAGGTTTTCTGTAGACTTTTCATTAATTAACTGAATTTATTTTCCATAAAATTCCTATTTTGGTGGTCTCTCTCTCTCTCTCTCTCCAACTTCTATATCATATGAATTCAATTTACTTCTAGAACTTTATTTCAATAATATATTTCATATCTATTCAATACATTTAAATAATATACAGATATAAATGTATAGTCTATTAAATAGACTCTATTTATAAATCACAAAACAAGCAAAACAATCATTTTCTTTGTACTTTTGATTTTTCCATTCAGAATACAGAAAAATACTGAAAAGCCTGAGTTTTGAGAGCAAAAATGTATGATAAAAATCATATAAAATATGAGAATTTAGATTTTGAAGTTCACAATCATATTTGGCAATCAGTATTTAATGTGCACTTAAATGCCGTGTCGTATGACTTAATATATAACTCAATCTGTTTTTATGGCTTTGAAATTATTATAAAGAGATTTATGTATTTATTTAGAGTCGAAATACATTTTTAGAGGTCTTTAACCACATATGGACTTATTTTTAAAGCAGATTTACAAATACTGTTTTGTTATTTAACAGATATTACTAAACAAATAGACAAAAAACTTTTCATTTGGGGTTTTAAGTATTTGTAAAAAAATTATGGTCTGTTTGTAAACAGACATTAAAAATACAATTTTAAAGATATATATTTTATAATATAAGTTATATTATATAACAGTAAATCATATGTAAAATAAAGTTTAACCGAATTTCTCGGTTATTTAGTTCATAATCTTTTTAAAAGTCAATTTTTCTCTTTAATTATTTTTAAAACTACTTTAAAATCCAAAAATATGATTACAATTAAGTAAAAAGAAAAGTTTTTTCTAATCATTTCCAGACATTTTAAAAAGCAATTATATAAATATTTATCTAATCTTTAAAAGTTTTATAAAATAAACATTTGTGTAAAATAAACAAAAAATCACTTATAATAATCTCTGGTTTTCTCATCAGATTCTCAATTAATAACAGTAATGATGGCAAAGATTGAATTGATTTCTTACATATGTGTGCTATAAATAAAAAGGATTTAATTATTAAATTACAAAAACATAATCTAGATCATTACAAACATCACCAATTAGATAAACAGTAACACAAACTAATCGTTTTATCTGCCAATGATTGACAGAATCCAAGATCGGAATTATGGTGGCATTCATGGCGATCGAGATACTAATCCAGGTGTTGGGCCTAATCGGGGTCATTCGGGCCAACGTTATACTATTGCTCATATTTGGCGTATTGGTAACGTTGGGCGCGTTGTTTGAGTTCATCACGATCTTCACTCGGGAGGGGAACGCCCTGTTCCTCATATACCTGACATTTCTGTCGGTTCTAGTCTTTGTGTACATACATCTCGTGCGAAACGAGAGGCAACAGTTGCCACGCGTTCACTACATCCCGGCGCCGACCAATCCATACAGTTATAGCTTTTTCCCGCAACCAAATTCACTACTATTTAAGGACAGTTCCGATGCTTAAGACATAGTCTGTCGTGAAGTGGACAGTAATTAATGACTTATATCCTAGTATTTGATGTCAACTTTTAGTTAATTTTGTGTTTTTTAATTCAGATATTTTTTACAATTATTTTGATTATTCGCATAGTCTTTGTAAAAGTGATTTTAACAGAGAAACTGCTTTTTTGTAAAATTATTGATATTTTTACGACCGTTTATTTAATTTGATAATTAGCTTAATTTTTTAATTGTGTTTTAAACGTAATGTGACTCTTGTTTTGTTGAATTTTCATTAATTATTAATGATTTTTTGAAATGTTTTATATAATTAAAAGAGTATATAATTTATTTGAAAAACAGAGAATTCAATTTAAAATTGCAATCATTTGTAACATATTTTATGAGCCAATAAACAATTATTTATAATAAAAACCACATTTAATTTGGTATACATTTCATTATTGTATACTTTTTATAATAATTTTTACAAAATATCTCAAACGTGTAAAACATATTATCGGAGCCATTATTTCCGTATAAATTGAATTATTTATTATAAAACCATAAAAACGATTACAATATATTGTATACAAAATACATGAAGTATTGAAATATTATTTTTTAAAAGACTAATTAATTTTGTAACAAAAAGTAAGTAAAATTGTGTGTTTGAAAGCGAGGAGAGAGTATTAAATACTGTATTATATTTCAATTAATTAGAAATATTCAACGCTTTTATTAACATATAAAAGGAAAAGTTATATAAAAATATCTGAAAAACTGTTTAATCGTTAAATACATGCGAAGAGTAATAAAAAAAACATTACAAATACTTATTGTTAGTCTTATTTATGGCCATTTGATGTTTAATTAAATAACTAAAAAAACACATTTTCACATAACTGTGCGATTAGTTTCCTAAACACTGGTGAAGAGGATATCCTTCATTATGCGGAGGAATATATGGGGAACGCATTGACAGACATTCCCAGCGATTGTTATGATTGTCGGCCCAATCGTTGCCATTCCTGTCCGCACTTGTATTCACCAGTGATAAAGATCTAACGATTTCGGATGTACTGAACCGACTCTTCTCCAAGTTATACAACAATTGGTCTGAAATATAGTGAAAGAAAGAAAAAACAAATTTTTTGACAGTTATTTGCGAAATGAAAAATTCAGGGATAAAACAAATATTTGATTTGATTTAAATGACAATACATGCGCTAATAGTACCACATATTGGTTGACAATTTTGGCCACATTTCCAGCTATTATTGCTACTATTATTAAGTGGTTTGCAATAATTCATTATCTGTTGCACAAGAGTTTTGTTGTTTAATAACAAATATATTATCTGTAAATCAAATGCGAAATTAATGAAAAAGTTTGGAAATAGCAGTAAATATTATTTAAAACTTTATGACACAGGGCACGAATATAAATATAAATATAATACAGGGCACGAAGTAATAATATTTTTTAATGATATTTTTATAGTATCAATAAATTGGTAGTGAATAGAGGATTTGCAAACGATTCGCTTATATTTATACCTAAATAACTGACGAAAAATAATTTTGATATAAAAAATAGCGATTTTTAAAATTAGCATTTTGTTGGGATGTCCTTGTTTTGGCTCAACCATCGTTTGCATCAATAATTATATACATAAATGTCATATCATTTGGAAAAGACATGATTTGTTTGTCATGTCTTTTGATGGCCACAAAAAATATTCCCCTAAAAAATGTTATACCTGTATATTGTATTAAAAAAATTGTGATACTTTAGCCATTCATTGATATTAAAAGTATTATTAGTATTACTTTTGTTTAATCGGTTTGCGATTTGGATTTATAACACCAATTATCCATAAAAAAGTGTTTTTGAAAACATAACCACAACTTAATTATTGAATCTGTTTGTGACATATATTTATTGATTGAATTGCATTTCGCTTTAATCCTATTATCCGTCAATTAGTTTGTATTGAATTAAGTTTTAGAAATACATATTTTTCGCAGACATTTGTTGCCAATAAATATTTAATATGTATAAATAGTTATAGCCATGAAATGTCACAAAATTTTTGATATATTTATTTCAAACATTACGCCCAAAGTGTTTGACTTCGTAAACACAGGCCGTCATTAAACATCTCTCAAAAATTATCTGTTAATTACTTTGTTGTATTGGCAAACATGGCTGATGTTGTGTGTATTGACCAAAAATGTATTAAAACACTATTGTCTAAACAAAAATCATATTTAAATAAATTAAATGTTTCAAAGACAGTGATTGGCAAAAATGCTGTCCAAAACTGGATTAATGATTTAGTTAACTGTGTTTTACATGGAATTATAGACAATCAAAATGTGTTAAACACAGCAACGCCCACATCAAGTGCCACCCATAACAGCAGTGATAGTGTACTTAACGCCAGTCATTCGCAACACTCAACTCATTCGCAGAATATTCTTGATTCTCAAGAATCGGATGACGCGGAAGAGACCGGAGAGAAGACAATTGAAAAACGGGTCGAAAATATTGAACAATTACTACAAACCCTTATCAGTGAAAAACATTTAGTAAACAAACAACATGTGAAACGGAGGGCCAATCACCAGAACAGACCCAATTCCTCATATGTTGACAAAAAGTGTTGGACATGTGGTAAGACAGGACACCTCTCATACAAATGTTACCACAATATAAGGCATGAGAATCGGAGACCAAATCACAGGCAACACAATCATCACTTCAGGAATAAAAGTGGTTTTTCTCCAGAAAATGGCCGAAGATATGACAGAAATCACGAGAATATGAATCATTTTTTAGGACAACGACCTCAACAGTATATAGTGATGCCAAACACAGGTCAGAGCTATATGCAGACAATTCCGGTACAACTGTCACAACCCAACCAACAGTTTCAGCCAATATAGCAAAACGT